GAGGTTGCGGTGAGCCAAGATCACGCCATTGCACTCCAGCCTGGGTAACAAGAGCAAAACTCCGTCTCAAAAAAAAAAAAAAAATACAAAAATTAGCAGGGTACAGCAGCGCATGCCTATAGTCCCAGCTACTCAGGAGGATGAGGCACAAGAATCATTTGAGCCCAGGAGGCGGAAGCTGCAGTGAGCTGTGATGGTGTCACTGCACTTCAACCTCAGCAACAGAGTGACTCTGTCTCAAAAAAAAAACACAAAAAGACAGCCGGGCACGGTGGCTCGAGCCTGTAATCTCAGTACTTTGGGAGGCTGAGGCAGGCAAATCATGAAGTCAGGAGTTTCAGACTAGCCTGAACAACATGGTGAAACCCATCTCTACTATACAAAAATTAGCCGGGTGTGGTGGCACCCACCTCTAATCCCAGCTACTAAGGAGAATGAGGCAGGAGAATCGCTTGAACCCAGGAGGCCGAGATTGCAGTGAGCCAAGATAAGGCCACTGCATTCCAGCCTGAGTGAGACTTTGTCTCAAAAAAAAAAAAGATAATGATCTAAAGGTTTTACTGTATTTATTTCAACAAGAATCAATCTAATATGAAACCATTAATTCAAGTATTATTAATTTGGACGGGAAAAAAAGAAATGCTAAACAATTATGTGTAAACATGACTTTAAGGCTGGATGAGGTGGCTCCCACCTGTAATCCCAGCACCTTGGGAGGCTGAGGCAGCAGATCACAAGGTCCGGAGATCAAGACCACCTAGGCCAACATGGTGAAACTCCGTCTCTTCTAAAAACACAAAAATTAGTTGGGCATGATGGCATGTGCCTGTAATCCCAGCTACTTGGGAGGCTGAGGCCGGAGAATTGCTTGAACCAAGGAATCAGAGGAGGTTGCAGTGAGCCGAGATTGCGCCACTGCACTCTAGCCTGGCGACAAAGCAAAACTCCATCTCAAAAAAAAAAAAAAGACTTCAAGGCAAGTATTATACATATCATATTATACATTAATTTAAAGAGAATTCTTTGGCTGGGCAGGGTGGCTCGCGCCGGTAATCCCAGCACTATGAGAGGCTGAGGCAGGTGGATCACAAGGTCAGGAGTTCAAGACCAGCCTGGCCAAGATGGTGAAACTCAGTCTCTACTAAAACACAAAAATTAGCCGAGTGTGGTCGCAGGTGCCTGTAATCCCAGCTACTCGGGAGGCTGAGGCAGAGAACTGCTTGAATCCAGGAGGCAGAAGTTGTGATGAGCCAAGATTGTGCCACTGCACTCCAGCTGGGGCAACAGAGCAAGACTCTGTCTCAAAAAAAAAAAAAATTATTTAAAACATGAGAAGCACTTACTTATGAAAAATGACTGTATACTACAAATCATTCTTATTAATTTGTTAAACCAAGTTTCCCAAAAGAACTTCTACTTGGTCTACTAGCTTCCTTAAGCTAGCTTCCTGAAACTAGTTCAACTTGGTCTTCATGTTAACGAGTGATAACTGCATTTAATTGGAGCAATACAATAAGTGACAGTCACTGCCATTACATGGCTGATGTGTCCGGGACTACATGAAACACTCTACTGGATTATTTCACTTAATCTTTATAACATAGGCAGCAGCATCTCCACTTTTTAAAAATGAGAAAACATGTTTTTCAGGCATAAGCGGTTTATCAAAGATTAAAAAGTTATTAAGAAGCTGGAATTCAAAACTCATGCAATTTCACTCCAAAACCCGTATTCATAACTATCTCACTATGTCAACTCAATTTTTTGTTGCCTTTAAAAAAATTTTTCTTTTGGCCAGGGTGGTGGCTCACATCTGTAATCCCAGCACTTACGGAAGTCAAGGCAAGCAGATCACCTGAGGTGAGGAGTCTGAGGTCAGCCTGGCCAACATGGCGAAACACCATCTCTACAAAAAATATCAAAATTAGCCAGGTGTGGTGGCGAGTGCCTGTAGTCCCAGCTACCTGAAAGGCTAAGAGAGGAGAATTCCTTGAACCCAGGAGGCAGAGGTTGCAGTGAGCCAAAATCATGCCACTGCACTCCAGCCCAGATGACAGTCAGACTGTATCAAATAAATAAATAAATAAATAATCTTTAAATCAGGTTTTTCACTAATTCAAATAACAAATCATTTACTTAAGTCTTTTTTTTTTTTTTTTTTTGAGACCAAGTCTCACTCTGTCACTCAGGCCGGAGTGCAATGGCACAATCCTGGCTCACCGCAAACTCTACCTCCTGGGTTCAATGATTCTTCTGCCTCAGCCTCCTAAGTAGCTGAGATTACAGGCATGTGCCACCACACCCAGCTGATTTTTGTGCTTTTAGTAGAGTTGGGGATTTCACCATGTTGGCCAGGCCGGTCTCAACCTCCTGACCTCAGTTGATCCACAGGCCTCAGCTTCTCAAAGTGTTGGGATCACAAGCATGAGCCACCGCACCCAGCCAATTAATTAAGTGACCTTAAACACCACTATTTCCTGGCCAGACTCAATGGCTCATGCCTGTAATCCCAGCACTTTGGGAGGTCAAGGTGGGGGTATCACTTGAGGCCAGGAGTTCAAGACCAGCTTGGCCAACATGGTGAAACCCAGCCTCTACTAAAAATACAACATTAGTTCGGCATGGTGACACAAACCTGTAGTCCCAGCAGATGCAGGAGGATCCCTTGAACCCAGGAGATAGAGGTTGCAGTGAGCCAAGACTGCACCACTGCACTTCAGCCTGGGTGACAGAGCAAAACCCATCTCAAAAACCAAACCAAACCAAACAAAACACAACCATCACTATTTCCTGAACTTCAATCATTCAGATACCATTGTTTAGATTTTCCCATAAATAAACATTACCAGTATTATCACTTACTTGATTCTGTCTCTAAACTGACTTAGTTTTTAAATTTGGCCTTGTCCTCAGCCTTATTATACAATTACGAGACTGAGACACATGAAGTCAACTCTTACATTTTTTTAATCTGTCGATATACAATCATCTGTGTACCACAAGAAATAAAAAGAAGCTATTTCTGAATTACCAGTGTTTCTCAATGTGTGGCAGATAATGATTTAGAAATAGGTTCTTTTTATTTCTACATCAAGATAAGGCTGTATTCTTTCAGCCATCAAAACACTAGAAAAAAAAAGATTACAAAAGAAATTATTTAAACAAAATCAGGATTAAATTTACTCAAAACAGACATTTCTAAACAATTAAAACTAAAATCAGGATTCCACAACAAAATGAATTTACAATAGTCCGCAAGTAAACTCTTAAATGTTCTAACAAATCTTTGCTTCCAGTCCTGTTCCTATCAAAGAATTTCCTGCATTATACTCAAAATGATTTTTTTAAAAATCTGATCACAGGCCTGGCTCAGTCGCTCATGCCTGAGCACTTTGGGAGGCTGAGGCAGGCAGATCACCTGAGATGAGGAATTTGGACCAGCCTGGCCAACATGGTGAAACTCTGTATCTAATAAAAATACAAAAATTAGCCAGGTATTGGGCCAGACACAGTGGCTCATACCTGTAATCCCAACACTTTGGGAAGCAGAGGTGGGTGGATCATGAGGTCAAGGGATCGAGATCATCCTGGCCAACATGGTAAAACCCTGTCTCTACTAAAAATACAAAAGTTAGCCAGGTGTGGTGGAGAGGCTAAGGCAGAAGAATTGCTTGTACCTAGGAGGTGGACGTTGCAGTGAGCCAAGACTGCACCACTGTACTCCAGCCTGGCAACAGAGGGAGACTGTCTGAAAAAAAAAAAAAATTAGCCCGGCATGGTGGCAAGTGCCTATAATCCCAGCTACTCAGGAGGCTAAGGTAGGAGAATTGCTTGAGCCTGGGAGGTGGAGGTTGCAGACAGCCACGACTATTCCGCTGCACTCCAGAGTGGGCAACAGAGCAAGACTCCATATCAAAAAAAAAAATCTGATCATAGCCTTACTTTACTTAAAATTCCTTTATGCCTGTAATCCCAGCACTCTGGGAGGCCAAGGTGGGCAGATCACAAGGTCAGGAGTTTGAGACCAGCCTGGCCAATATGGTGAAACTGCTTCTCTACTAAAATTACAAAAATTAGCCGGGCCTGGTGGCAGGCTCCTGTAGTCCCAGCTACTCAGGAGGCTGAGGCAGGAGAATCGCTTGAAACCAGGAGGCAGTGGTTGCAGTGAGCCAAGATTGTGCCACTGTACTCCAGCCTGGGTGACAAAGCAAGACCCCATCTCAAGAAAAAAACAAAAAAAAAAAAAACCTCTCCAGCGGCTTCTGAAAATACTCATGATAAAGTCCAAACTTTCTGGCATGGCTTAGAAGGCCCTGATTATTCCTGTGTTCCCTTTCAGCTGCATCTTTTGCCATTCTTAACCTCAACTTTCTGCTCCAGCCTTACTAAGTCTCAGTAATACTCAACCTCACAATTTATATAACCCATTTTCTCAGCCTAAAGTCTACATCTCACTATTTAATCACGTGCTCTCTGAACTCTAATTATGTTTTTGGCACGGAAAATCGTTTTATCTGTATCACCTCATCAGACTGGAAGCTTCCTTGAGGTTTAGGGCTGTGGTATTTTTTGTTTTGGTTTTCCACTGTAAACAAATGCTAGATATACATATATATATATGAAGAACTCAATACATACATATTTGGTAAATGAATGAGCAATACATTATCAAGACCAGTTAAACAGACTGTGTACGTGTACGAGCACATGTGTATCAACTAAAGACGCTAAATTATTATTTGCTCAGTCTTTGTACCAACCATAATAAATGAAAAGGCTTTTTTGAGTTTCACCAAGGATCACTCTAATAAGAAACTACTAATTCAAATAGCATTAATTTGAATGTTTTCATATGGGGGAAAAAAAGAAGTGCTAAAAATTATGTACAACCATGACTTTTTGTAATTAAAATGGTTAAATCAAGGATGATCTAAGGAACATTAATATACAAAAAAATCCCTTCAAAAAATGACTTGTGGAATAATCTAATTTGTGCTTACTCAAATCGTCCGATACATCTTCAATTCCTGAAGCACTATCATCAGAATCACCAGTATTATCTGTACATGTTTGTTGTTTCTGAGATCGTGGTGAGTTTTGCAGAGCATATTTTTCTCCCTCTACAGCTTCAATATTCACTTTGTCCACAGAAGTAAAGGAGCTTGGAATTTTTTCCCCAATCTGTTGTAATTCTGTCTTCTGTCTCATGTCTTTCAACAGTAAACTGGATCCCTTTTCTGCTTCCGCTGGTGAACTCAGTGCATTTTCTGACTTCATCTGACAACTGGTTGCTTTTCCTGCTTTCACTGAATTAGGTGACTTAGGTGATTTTTCTACTTTTGCCTGTAAACTGGGTGCCTTTTCGGCTTTCACCGGAGAATTAGGAAATTTTTTTGCTTTGCAATGACTTTGATCTCGAAGGACTACCCCCAAATCTTTAGGACCAGGAAGGTTGGCAGCATTTACTTTACATGATTTAACTTCTGTTTTTTCTATACACATATCATTTTGCTTAATTTTTTTACTACTATTCCTGTTTGGAGAGCTGTTCCCAATTTCTTTTATGGATTTATCATTTCTAGCTTTCAACATTTGATTAGCTATCACTTGAACTGCTTTGCTCTCTTCACAAATAACATTCTTCTTTGGTTCATGTTTTTCACTTTTTATGGTCTTAGACTCTTCCATTATTTGAAAATCTGCTTCTTTCCAATAGTGATATTATAAAGTGGCAGATCTCCAGTAGTTTAAATTGCTTCAAATCCAGTTTAGGCAAGCACACTATTGGGTTAAAAGAAAGAAAAATCTGTTATTTAAAGTGGAAAAACCATTTTTTTACGGTTAGACATTAAAAAAATATATTTTAAACTTGTTCTAAAAACTAAAGAAATAATTTTTAAAATAAATAAATAAATAAATAAATAAATAAGCTATATGAGGAGTTACAGCCCACTAGGTAAATAGTGAAATGCTCATCAACAAAATTCTAATGTAATTATGGTAATACAGCACCAAACCAAAGAATTTTAGAAGTAAAGGTCGTTTCACATTCCTTTAAGAATTGCAATAGAAAACTAAAACTTGCAATTGAATATATCACAAATAACATAAAAGGAAACAGAATTTTAAAAAACACAAGAATTCCAATCTTGGCTGGGCATGATGGCTCACGCCTGTAATCCCAACACTTTGGGAGGTCAGGCAGGTGGATCACCTGAGGCTGAGTCGAGACTAGCCTGACCAACATGAAAATACAAAAATACAAAAATTAGCCAGGCGTGGTGACATTGCACTCCAGTCTGAATAACAACAGCAAAACTCCGTATCAAAAAAAAAAAAAAACAAAGAGTCCTTCTGCTAGCAAAAGGAAACTGCATAGAATTAAAATGTACCATCTTTGATTTTACTTGATTTACTAAATTACAAACTTAGGTAAACATCTCTAATCATATAACTTCACATCATATAAATACAAAAACTTATGTAAAATAAAGAGCTTACTCTTAGTTTTAATCACTCACTGTTGAGAAATGCTACCTATATGATTGCTGAGAAATGCTGAGCGTATGATAAAATATATTGTTTGCTAAGAAGAACGATGGCAAGGGAAACCTGCTGCCACTGCCCCCCGCCCCAAGCAGAAAACTACTTGGGACATTCTAAAGTGGCAGGATAATATATAAATAAAATACACCAGTTAAAACAATTCTTTAAGCATGGGACATCTGACCCTGCCCCCATGGCTCCCTTGTGGAGGATACTTTAGTTTGTCTGTGATCAGTGGTAAGTGGCCACCAGCTGCCTACTTAGTATATTTTTGTATTATGAGAAAATACCAAACATCTGTTTGTTAATAACAATCAACTGTTCAGAGAGAATACATGCGTGGGTCAGAGTTTGCTTGGAGCCCTCAGCCCAGAATGCTGTCAGCCCCTGAGACTCTCAGTTCTGAAGGCTGTTGGTCCCCCGGATAGACCCACTTTGCTGTTCTATCTGGGTGTCTGCTTCTCAATTCCTTCAGTGCCGCCTGGGTGGGGGTCTCTATGGCCGCACTGGTCTCAGTAGCTCACTGCAGCCTGGAACTCCTGGACTCAAATGATCCTCCTGCCTCAGCCTCCCAAGCAGCTAAGAACACAGGCACACACCACCATACCTAGCTAATTTTTTTGTTGTTGTAGAGACAGAGTCTCACTATGTTGCCAAGGCTTGTCTCAAACTCCTGGCCTTAAGTGAACCACCCATCTCAGTCTCCTGAAGCACTGGGATTACAGGGATAAGCCACCACACTCAACTAATAATTCTTCTTTGTAGTGCAATCCTCTCCATTCTCTGCCTTGCTTGTCCAAAGTAATATTGTCTTTTACTTTAAAAATTTATTAGGTTCTTCTTTCTAAATTATTATTGTAGGAAATAAGAATAAATAAAAGGTTCCTCTTCAAAGCTTTCCTCCTAGTTCATTATGAATAAACAACAGTTTCTTCAAAGGTTAGTTTACTTTAAAGTTTTGCTAATAAACTCGAAGTAGCTGTTAGTCATAATAAAGAAATAAGTGCATCCCATGTTCTTAGTTCTTATACTTTAACCTAGATATTTGCCCTGACATGCCTGGACAAGCCGAGGCAAGTCTTAGGTCGTAGCTTATTCCCCTTCCTTATTTCGAAATGTTATTGCTTCTCTAAGCATTCCTCGAGTTACTTCCTCTTTTGCTTTGTTCTCCTCTGCCTTTACCTCTTTAGAAAATTTCCAAGTTTTTAGCCAATCAGGTCAAGCATAGAAAGTGAGATCTGGTTCCAGCCAATGGAAACTGGAGATAGCATCAGGGCAACTGCATCAGATTATGAAAGTTCTAAATGTCCCTGTCTCCACTCTTCAGGTGTGCTCTCGTGGCAAGACTGCCGGGGAGTTGCACCCTTCCTGCAGGAAGTAAAGCAGCTTTGCTGAGTAATGCATTGTCTCAGTGTAGATATTTTCCCGATGTTATAAACCAGTTTCCAACAATGTTAATAAAAATTAAAGTCAAAACCATACTAGATATGGTGTCAGTTGGAGTCAAGCAAAGTATTTAAAAAACTTTTTCAATCAAAAAAAAAAAAACTAGGCCAGGCGCAATGGCTCACGCCGGTAATACCAGCACTTTGGGAGGCCAAGGCAGGCGGATCACAAGGTCAAGAGATCGAGACCATCTTGGCCAACATGGTAAAACCCCATCTCTACTAAAAAAAAAAAAAAAAAAAAAAAATTACCTGGGTGTGGTAGTGCACACCTGTAGTCCCAGCTACTTGGGAGGCTGAGGCAGAAGCATTGCTTGAACCCAGGAGGCGAGGTTGCAGTTAGCCGAGCTCATGCCACTGCACTCCAGCCTGGCGATGGGTGACAGAGCAAGACTGTGTCTCAAAAAAAAAAAAAAACACTAGATTTTCACCATTAATATTTTGACTAAATTTTCTGGTGAAAGCTATAGAAACTTACAACTGTAAGGCCGAGCACAGTCGATCACACCTGAAATCCCAGCACTTTGGGAGGCCAAGGCGAGCAGACCACAAGGTCAGGAGTTCGACACCATCCTAACACGGTGAAACCCTGTCTCTACTAAAAATACGAAGGAGGCTAAGGCAGGAGAATTGCTTGAATCCAGAGGCAGAGGTTGCAGTGAGCTGAGATCACACCATTGCACTCCAGCCTGAATGACAAAGCAAGACTCCATCTCAAAACAAAAACAAAAACAAAAAAATTTTACAACTATAAAAGAATGCTTTTGCTCCTAACTTTTATGTAAATATATTTAATTAATACATTTTGCTTTTATTATTCTTGATAAGGTATTTTACATAACTGTCAAAAGAGTTATCAAAATGTATGACTATTTCTAAATTCTTGTGAGAACTGCTGCAGGGTCCTCATTTTAAAAACTAAAATGAGCTCTATTTCAAAAATTGAAGCCAGGTGCAGTGGCTCACACCTGTAATCGCAACACTTTGGGAGGTTGAGGTCAGGAGTTCAAGACCAGCTTGACTAACATAGAGAAATCCCATCTCTACTAAAAATACAAAATCAGTCGGGCATAGTGATGCATGCCTGTAATCCCAGCTACTCGGGTGGCTGAGGCAGGAGAATCGCTTGAGCCCAGGTGGCAAAGGCTGTGGTGAGCCGAGGTGGTCCCACCATTGCACTTCAGCGGGCAACAAGAGCGAAACTCTATCTCAAAAAAAAAAAAAATTAAAATGAGCTTTACATCTAAAAGATTAGTTTTACCTTCTTAGTAACAAAAGTATCTTTAAATTTTTTTTTTTTTTTTGAAATAGAATCTAGCTCTGCTGCCCAGGCTGGAGTGGAGTGGTGCAATCTCGGCTCACTGCAACCTCCATCTCCCAGGTTCAAGTGATTCTCCTGCCTCAGCCTCCTGAGTAGTTGGGATTACAGGCACCTGCCACCACACACAGCTAATTTTTGTATTTTTAGTAGAGACATAGTTTCACTGTTGGTCAGGCTGGTCTCAAATGCCTGACCTTGTGATCCGCCTGCCTTGGCCTCCCAAAGTGATAGGATTACAAGAGTGAGCAACTGCGCCCCGCCATATCTTTAAATTTTTAATGCTAATCTACTATGGTGATTCTTTAATAATTTTATAGAGGTCATCTGACAAAAGCCATAAACAATAAAGATTTGAAAAACAAAGCTGTTCCACAATTTTGTTTGCAAAACTTTTCAGACAATTTATTCATCCACTCAAAAAATACTTCATAAATCAAGTTTGTATATATCAACAAAAGCTACAAAATTTTTTAAATCAATATACCTAATATAGATAAGTGCTAGTGGAGAATTCCAGGCTCAGAAAGTTGCCAGGTTTTCACTTGGAGTAATCTTTTTTTTTCTTTCTTGAGACATATTCTTGCTCTGTCATTCAGGCTGGGGGGCAATGTGGCACAATTATGGCTCACTGTAGCCTTGACCTCCCTGGGGTCAAGCAATCCTCCCACCTCAGCCTCCTGAGTAGCTGGAACTACAGGTATGTGCCACCAAACCCAGCTAATTTTTCTATTTTTTTTTTTTGTAGAGACAGGGATTCACCATGTCACCCAGGCTGGTTTTGAACTCCTGAACTCAAGCAATCCTCCTGCCTCGGCTTCCCAAAGTGCTGTAACTACAGGCCTGAGCCCCTGCATCAGCCACTCTGAGCAATTTTTCATATAACTAAAAATACATTTAAATTGCTAATAGAAGGCTGCAGTGAGCCGAGACCATGCCATTGCACTCCAGTCTGGGTGACAGAGTGAGACTCCATCTCAAAAAAAAAAAATTGCTAACAGGAATATACGTTAAGAAAAGAGTGTATTTTCTCATCATCCTCATCTTTATCTTTTATTTTTTAAGGGTACATAGTAGGTGTATATATTTATGGGTTACAAGAGATGTTCCAATACAGGCATGCATAAAACAAGCACATCATAGAGAATGGGATAGTCATCCCCTCAAGCATTTATCCTTTGAATTATAAACAATCCAATTACATACTCTGTTTTTAAAAGTACAATTATGTTATAATTAACAACAATCACCCCTACATCTTTTCTTCTAAGAGTGGCCAATGTCTTATTGCCTCAAAAATGTTATTACAAAATTGCTATTTTCAACTTTTTCTTTGAAGCTATCAAGAGTAAGAAATTTTCCCCAAAAAGCTGTAATTCCTAGAAATGAAGTTCTCTCTGAGGAGACAGTGTTTTGAAGATAAGGCTCAGCCAGGCACAGTGGCTCACACCTGTAATCCCATCTCTATGAGAGGCTGAGGTAGGCTGATCTTGAGCTTGCAAGTTCAAGACCAGCCTGGGCAATATGATAATACCCCATCTCTACAAAAAATACATAAATTAGCCGGGTGTGGTGGTGTGTACCTGTAGTCTCAGCTACTTGGGAGGCTGAGGTAGGAGGATGGCTTGAGCCCAAGAGGCAGAGGTTGCAGTGAGCTGAGATAGCACCACTGCACTCCAGGCTGGGCGAAAGAGCCAAATCTTGTCTCAATAAAAAGAAAAGAAGGCTCACTGTTTCCCCTGCACACTCTATTTGGTTGAACCAAATAAAAATTATAGAAATCAACCTCAAATGATGGAAAAAAATAACATCAGAACTACCTTCTAGTTCTTGGTTACATATTTAGAATGCAGTAAATGGTTATGAAATTCTAACCTTAAATAACTAGTTATATCTTATTATTAAGAAAATACAAATAATTTTTTTTTTTAGAGCCAGGGTCTCCCTGTGTCACTCATGCTGGGGTGCAATGATGCCACTCTAACTCACTATAGCTTCTAATTCCTGGGCTCAAGTGATCCCCCCAGCTGATAACGGCTGGACTCAGGGGTGGGAGGCACACTTAATGAACCACTGCTGTAAGAAGTGATCCTGAAAGTAGAAGTGAAGGGAATCATTCTCTTCTGTACAGCCTTACACACAGTCAATAATCTGATTCATGTCAGTCTCCCCATGACATTCTAAAGTCCATGAGGTAAGAAATCATTTCTAATTTTGCTTATCATTACATCTTCTGGGCCTACCACAGTGCCTAATACAAAGTATTGTGTGCCAATAAATGCGCTAGATGGATTTTTTTTTTTTTTTGAGACGGAGTTTCACTCTTGTTACCCAGGCTGGAGTGCAATGGCGTGATCTCAGCTCACCGCAACCTCCGCCTCCTCCGCTTCCTGGGTTCAGGCAATTCTCCGGCCTCAGCCTCCTGAGTAGCTGGGATTACAGGCACGCGCCACCATGCCCAGCTAATTTTTTGTATCTTTAGTAGAGACGGGGTTTCACCATGTTGACCAGGATGGTCTCGATATCTTGACCTCGTGATCCACCCGCCTCGGCCTCCCAAAGTGCTGGGATTACAGGCTTGGATTTTCTTTTTAACTAATCTGAATTATTTTAATTGTTCACACTTTAAAAATATATGGAATCCAAAAGATGCTTAATTGCATCATACTTTATGTTGTCTACAATGGTAGGACAGGTCCCTCTTTCATAAAGTCTTCCATAATCTACACCTCTACTCTCCTACCCAGGGCGGGCTTAGATAAGTAGGCCTCTTCTTAATGAACTCTTCTTACTTTTCTCACAGCACTTAGCAATTAAACCTATTTATGTTTTTACTTCCTATTTGAACAGTAGAAACTGTCTTTCCTAATCTGTTTTTAATAAAACAAATACATTTACATGGGTGAAAAACAGTACTCTCCTATCAACTCCCAATTTCTCTCCTCAGAAGCAACTACCTACTTTTCATTATTTTGATTTATCTCCATATTTCTAAGTAACATGTTTAAGATGATACTTTTTGTTTTGTTTTAGCTTTTTTTTTAAGACATTATCTCACTCTGTCACCCAGGCTGGAGTACAGTGGCATGCAATCATGGCTCACTGAAGCCTTGACCTCCTGGGCTCAAGTGATCTCCCTGCCTCACCCTCCAGAATGGCTCAGACTACAGGCATACACAACCACACCTGGCAATTAAAAAATTTTTTTTGTAGAGACAGGGTTTCACCATGTTGCCCAGGCTGTCTCGAACTGCTGGGCTCAAGCGATACTCCTCACTTGGCCTACCCAAGTGCTGGCATTACAGGCATAAGCTACCATGCCCAGCCTTAGCTATTATCTGCTAACTTCCTACATGAAAAATAATGGCTTTAGCCATCTTAAACATTCCCCCTAAAAACATAGATAACTGTACAACATAAGTACCTCCCCACCCAACCACCATCCTCCTAGGATGATTTTAATAAGATGTGTCAAGATTATTCATGGTTAAGCCACCTATACTACAGCAGAGTTTCCTAGATATTCATAAAAATTCACTTTCTCCTTTTTCCTGAGCACATGACTAGTCTACATTTCCCAAACCCCTCTGCAGTTTGGTGTGGCCTTATGATAAAGTTCTCACCTCCTTAATGCTCTCTTTTTCTTCTCATTGAATAAAATTCTCATCCACCCAGCTTCAGTCATTCAACCAACCATTATGTTCTAATTCAGATCAGGAAGTCTCAAACTTTTGTATACAGGAATCAACAACTAAATGCAATTCTGATTCAGCAGACTGGGAGTGGGTTCTGATATTCTGCATTTCAAACAAGCCCAGGTGATGTCCACTTGGCTAGTTGTTGGCCATACTTTTGGTGGGACAACAGGATCAATATAACTTGGGCCCCTGAATAACCACATGGAACAAACTACTAATCTAGATGTCCTGACGACTTACCCAGCAACCTATATGAGAAAGGAATAAAATTCTTTGTTTTTTAAGCCATTCTATTACTAGATCTAGCTTTTGACTTAAGAAATATATATACTTAATCACATTTCCCTTTTGGTATACTTTTTCAGTTTTACCTGAAATTAATCACTTCCTCATTTTTCTTAAGCTTTTTCTACATATATATCAATAATTCACTGACAGAACTATACATTTTCTCTCCGTAAAATCAAACACATCAAGTAATTTGGTTTTGTTGTTGCTGTTCTTTCCTTGGATATCCCTTCTTGGGACCTTTCTGGTCATTATTATACTTTCACCACAGTTGCTGTTATACTCAGACTTCCTTTCACTATCATCCTACCAATTCCCTTACACTCACTCATGTTGACTCTTCTTTTTACCTCTTCCATGACTTATTCCCTTGTATTTGGTGGAACACATCCTCCAGCAGCTTTCTAAGAAAGGAAACATGAGACCAGGCACAGTGGCTCACAGATGTAATCCAAGCATTTTGGGAAGCGAAGGTGGGTAGATCACTTGAAGCCAGGAGTTTGAGACCAGCCTGGCATGGCGAAACCTCGTCTCTATTAAAATACAAAAAAAAAAAAAAAAATTAGCTGGGTATGGTGGCACACACCCATAATCCCAGCTACTGGAGAGACTGGAGCACAAAAATCACTTAAACCCAGGAGGCGGGGATTGCAGTGAGCAGAGATTGTGCCAACTGCACTCCAGCATGTGCAACAGTGTGAGACTCTTGTCTCAAAAAAATAAAAGAGAGGAAGAAAATATGAAATACATTGAAGAAAACAATTATGCCCCACTTCCGATATTTCATTCTATGTAGCGGGATACCCATTATCATAACATTCCTGACCTCTTTCCACTCCCCTCATTCATTCCTTACCTAAGGAGATGAGGTAACTTATTTCATCGTGAGTTTGGGAAAATAATCCAGGCAAAACTTAGCCTTATCCCCTCTCCTTCCTCTTTGGATCCTGCTGTCCACAGGGAAGAAAATCTCCCATTCTGTTCCATCATACGCTAACATTTACAGACATAAGCCTCACATAGGGCCTGCAGTTGTTCAGCTCTGCCAGGTCCTGATAGGTTAAGTCTGCCTAATTCTGGCATTGAGTATTAGTAAACCAGTTGAAAGTATAAGCTGTCTTCTCTAAACTGAACCTTATCAAAAATAAAATTATAAAAACTAAATAAAAATAAAATTATATTCTGGTCTCCATATGCTTCCTTTGTTTCACCCAATTTATTTAAAATTCAGGAAAGCAAAGGGGGTGCTATTTATTGGACCCCTGTAAACTCCAACAGGAGGTAGATTTTATAAAACTGCATATCTGCAATGTCTCTATTGTATATTCAGACCTCATTTAGTTAGGTATAAAATTCTAAGGCCGGGCGTGGTGGCTCACGCCTGTAATCCAAGCACTTTGGAGGCCAAGGAGGGCGGATCACTTGAGGTCGGGAGTTCAAAGCCAGCCTGACCAACATGGTGAAACTCTGTTTTTTTAAAATAAATAAATAAATAAATAAAATGAAATTCTAGGTTAGGACCAGGCACAGTGGCTCATGCCAGCAAACCCAGCACTTTGGGAGGCTGAGGTGGAAGGATCATTTGAGCTCAGGAGTTCAAAACCAGCTCGTACAACAAGGCAAAAACACACAACACAAAAATCAGCCAAACGTGGTAGCGCATGCCTGAGGTCCCAGCTACTTGGGAGGACTGAGGTAAAACAATCACTTGAGCCCAGGAGGTCAAGGCTGCAGTAAGCTGTGATGGCTCCACTGAACTCCAGCCTAGATGACAGAGTGAGACCCTGTCTCAAAAAAATAAAACAAAATTGTAAGTTAGAAATCTTTCGTTCAAAATGTTATAGGTTCCTTTTCAATGATTTCTAGTTTCTAGGACTACCACTGAGAAAATTATGCCATTCTTATTCTCTTTTTTGTAGACCTGTTTTTTTCTCTATGGAAACTTCTAGGATAATCTCTTTGCTTTGGTATTCTAAAATTTCCAAGTGACAGGCCTGCTGTAGCTATCTCCTTGTTCATCTTGTTGACTGACTAGTCAGCTGGCTCTTTTCATCAGTAATTCACATCATTCACTTCTGTAATTTCTTTTTCTTCCATCTACTATAAATTCCTCCTTTTCATCTTTTCTGTTCTCTTTGTACTGCTCCTATTAATTAGACGTAAGTCCTCTAAACTGATCCTCTAATTTTCTTATCTTTTCTCTCCATTTTTCCATCTTTCTTTTTGTTCTCTTTCCTAGGTGATTTCTTTAACTCTATCTTTGAACTCTTCTATCATATTTTTTACTTCTAAGAACCCTCACTCTCTATTCCTTTTTATAGCACTCTGATCTAGTTTCATAGTTCTAATGTCATATTTCTAAAGACTACTAACACTCAGAACGCTAAAATTTTTTCTCAAACTTCTTTCTGCTTTCTGTATTTATTGTTCTTGGCATTTTGTTCCCTAAGTAATATTGTTTATTTTCTTCTCTACAAAGCATACCAACATGCTTAATAGGGGTCACAGAAAGAAGAGAAGGGTATAGAAAAAATATTTGAAGAAATAATGGTCAGAAACTTCCCCAATCTGATGGAAGACATAAGTACATACATCCAGAAAGCTCAATAAACTTATAAGAAGAATAAACTCGAAGAAATCCATGCTGAGGCACAAAGTCAAATTGTCAAAACCAAAGAGAACTTTGAAAGGAGCAAGAGAGTTTAACTCATTAAACACAAAAGTTAACAGCTGACTGCCCACAAGAAACCATGGAAATAAGAAGGCAACGCAGTGACATATTTGAAGTCCTGAAAGCAAAAAGCTGTGAACTAAGAATTCTCTCGCCAGTAAAACCACCCTTCATGAATAAAGGAGAAATTTTATTTCCAGGTAATTTAAAAATTATATTTCCAGGTAACATAAAAACTGAGAAAGTTCATTCTGCCCTACGAGAAGTGCTAAAAGAAATCTTCGTGCTGAAATGAAAAGATAAGGCAATAACCCAAATCCATAATAAGAAATAAAGAACACTAGTAAAAATAACTACATAGGTAAATATAAAAGCCAATGTTTTGTAATTTTGGTAACTCTTGGCTTTTTCCCTTTTACATGATTTAAAAGACAAATGCATAAAAATTCATTACAAACCTATGTTAAAGGGCACATAATAAATAAGGAGGTAATCTGACAATAAAAATGTAAAGGGGGAGAGAGATGAGTAGAAGCAGAGTATATCTGCGTACTATTTAAACTAAGTTGACATTACTCAAACTAGGCTGTTATAAATTTAAGATGTTAATTACATCGTTATCCGCAAGGCATCCACTAAGTAAGTAACACGCACATGAAATCAAAACAGTATTCTATTTCTATAAAAAATCAATACATAAAAAGGCAGCATTAGAGGAACAAAAAGCATAAAAAATATATGGAAAAGAGGAAGCTAAATGGCAGAAGTAAATCCTTCCTTACCAGTAATTGCTTTAAATGTAAATGAATTAAACTTTCCAATTAAAAACAGAGATTGGCCAGGTACAGTGGCTCACGTCTGTAATCCCAGCACTTTAGGAGGCTGAAGCAGGTGAATTACCTGAGGTCAGGAGTTCATGACCAGCCTGGACAACATGGTGAAACCTTGTCTCTACTAAAAATACAAAAAATTAGCTGGGCATGGTGGCGCATGCCTGTAATCCCTATACTCAGGAGGCTGAGGCAGGAGAACTGCCTGAACCCAGGAGGCGGTGAGCCGAGATCGCGCCATTGCACTCCAGCCTGGGTAACAAGAGTGAAACTCCGTCTCAGAAAAAAAAAAGAAAAAAAAATCAGCTGGGCATGGTGGTGGGTACCTTTAATCCCAGCTACTTGAGAGGCTGAGCCAGGAGAATCAGCCGAACCTGGCAGGCGGAGGTTGCAGTGAGCCGAGATCATGCCATTGCACTCACCTGGGAAACAAGAATAAAACTCCATCTCAAAAAAAAAATTAAAATAAAATAAACAAAATAAAAAGAGAGACCGGCAAACTGGAAAACATATGACCTATCATCTATCTACAAGTTTCACTTTAGATACAAAGGGGCAAAGAGGTTGTAAGAAAAGAATGAAAAAAGATACTCCATGCAAACAGTAACCAAGAGAGAGCTAGGGGCTAAATTATTATCAGAAAAAATATACTTTAAGTCAAAAAAGGATACAAAACACAAAGAAGGACATCATATATTGCTAAAAGGTTCAATTCAACAAGGACATATAACAGTTATATACACCTAACAACAGTGACCTAAAATATAGGAAATAAAAGTTAACATAATTGAAAAGAGAAATTGTTCCATAATCATACTCAGAGACTTCAATACCAAACTTTTCAATAACAGAGCAACCAGAGAGAAGATCAAAATGGAAATAGAGGACTTGTGTAACACTAGAAAATAATTTGATGGCCATGCATGGTGGCTCACGCCTGTAGTCCAGCACTTTGGGAGGCCAAGGCAGGTGGCTCACCTGAGATCAGGAACTCGAGACCAGTCTGGCCAACATGGCAAAACCCCATCTCTACTAAAAATATGAAAATTAGCCAGGCATGGTGGCACACACCTGTAATCCCAGCTACTTGAGAGGCTAAGGCAGGAGAATCACTTGAGTGCAGGAAGCAGAGGTTGCAGTGAGCTGAGATTGGGCCACTACACTACAGCCTTGGCAACAAGAGCAAAACACCATCTCAAAAATAAATAAACAAACTAACTAATTAGACCAGTCAGGCACAGTTTGCCCACCTTGGCCTCCCAAAGTGCTAGGGGTATTTTTAATAGAAACCTCATCTCTACTAAAAATACAAAAATTAGCTGGGTGTAGTGGCACATGCCTGTAGTCCCAGCTACCTGGGAGGCTGAGGCACAAGAATCGCTTGAATCTGGGAGGCAGAGGTTGCAGTGAGCCAAGATCGCACCACTGCACTCCAACCTGGGCAAAAAAGTGAGACTCCATCTTAAAAAATAAAATAAAATAAAATAATTAGACCTAACAGATATATAAAGACTCTATCCAACATCAACAGAATATATATTCTATCCACAATGGGCATATAACACGAAAGACAAATAAATGCTCTGTTTTGGCAACTGAGGGGAAAAAAAAAACAGCTGGGCACAGTGGTTCATGCCTATAATTACAGCACTTTTGGAGGCCAAGGTGGAAGGACAACTTGAGTCCAGGAGTTTGAGACAAGCCTAGGGAACACAGGCGACTCCATCTCTACAAAAGAAATTAAAAATTGGCCAGGCACCTGTAGTTCCAGCTACTCAGGAGGCTAAAGTGGGAGGATCACTTGCACCTGGGAGGTGAAGGCTACAGTGAGCTGCAATCATGCCACTGTACTCCAGCCTATGCAACAGAACTTCAAGATGAAAAAAAAAAAGAAGAGAAAGAAAAAAGGAAGGAAGGAAGGAAGGAAGGAAGGAAGGAAGGAAGGAAGGAAGGAAGGAAGGAAGGAAGGAAGGAAGGAGGGAGGGAGGGAGGGAGGGAGGGAGGGAAGGAGGGAAGGAAGGAAGGAAGGAAG